CATATCGATAGTTGCACACATTTGCATTGTGTCCTGTTTTACTACAAACTTGACATATAGGTAGATTATTTGAGCTGAATCTACCTCTGTTCCTACCTCTTCTTCTACCTCCTCTATAGCTACCATTGTGTTGTGATCTTCCACCATAGTAGGAGTTGGAATTTCTACCAGAGTAGTGGTTGTTTGGAGACCTTTGGGTGAAGTTTGCAGATGAGCGATTAAGATTGATACCTGCCATATCATTTTTGATGGCACTGATGTGATCAAGTCTACTCTCATATGTCATAAGAGTAGATTGAAGTTCTTCTCAACTGATAGACTACCTCTGTTGATCTGTACAACAATATGGGTGTATTCTTCATCCAAGCCAGCCAGGACTTGAGTTACCAGATCAGCAGGTTGAACGGGTTTTCCGGCAACTTCCAGGTTACTGGCTAGGAGTTTCACTTTATTCAGATACTGATCAATGCTCAGACCATCTTTCCTGGTTTTCTGAAGTTCTCCTACTAGGAAGGTAATTCTGGATCTGTTTTGAATGCCAAAGCTCTCCTTGATGGCAGTCCACAATTGAAGAGAACTTGCAGATCCCATTACCCTTAGAGCAATTTCAGGGGTCATAGTGGCATATAGCCATCCCATGAGTAGTTGATCAATAGATTTCCATTGATTGAACTCTGGATTGGTAGACATTTCCACACTTATCCCTAATTCTCCAGCTACTTGAGTACTGATGAATTCTGGTGGGCACACCTTGGTTCCCTCCATGTATCCTTCCAGGTTGTGACCTCTTATGATAGGCAGGATCATATTTTTCCAGAGAAGATAATTGTCTCTGTCAAGTTTAACAGAGGGAGTTTAATTGAGATTCATGCCAAACGAAGTGAGGTGATTTCCTCCCAGCATTGGAGGTGCGTTAGTGTTGGACATTGCAGCTGATTGGGACTGTGAGCTATTAATACCGGCGTTGGCCATTCAGAAGCTCTGATACCAAGTTAAAGTACTGAATTCAATTATATAAATTTAACTGGAAACAATTAATTTCAGCTTAACTTTACAAGTGAGAGTAAGCTCGAATTTGTACAAGTAAAAGGAATGGTCTAGGCTAAAGATCTAGGCTGTAC